ATGTGATCAGACCAATTTAAGTCACTATTAATTATCACTCCGAGATCGTTGTGTGAGGTTACAGAGTTTAAAGGATGTCCATTAATAAAGTACGGCAGTGATGGGTTATTTTTGCCGATATGTAAAACAACGCATTTTTCAATGTTAAGCGGAAGTAACCATTCTGAGAACCATTTGAATATTGCGTCAAGATCTTGTTGAAGAATATGTTGGTTAATAGTTGGATTCACATATAACTTCGTGTCATCAGCGTAAATGGAAACCTTACTGGATACAATGAGCGGAAGATCACTAGTGTAGACACAAAAAAGTAGCGGTCCAAGTACTGATCCTTGTGGAACTCCACTCTTGACTGGCTTATCTAGTGAATGGTCTTCCCCAACACGAACCCTGAAGTATCTGTCGGATAAAAAATCTTGTATCCAAATGTTTAACTTTCCGCGGATACCATAGTGATCCAATTTAGCTAGTAATCGACGTTTTGGAACACGATCGAAAGCTTTGGAGAAGTCTAAGTAAACTACATCGACAGGATTCCGATTGTTTAAAGATAATGACCAATCATTTACACAATGAAGTAAGTTTGTGATCGTTGAACGACCTTTGATAAATCCATGCTGTTGGTGAGGGATGACATTTTCTTGAAGAAGGAACTCGGACATAGCTTCCGAAATAATCGATTCCATGACCTTGCCGACAATAGGAACCAGGCTGATTGGACGGTAATTATTGCAATCAAGTTTATTACCTTTCTTGAATACAAGAGTAACAGAAGCCAATTTCCAGGACGAGGGGAGGGAACCTTGATTAAAAGAAGCAGTCATTATGAGAGATATAGGGATGGCGACAGAATCTGCACATTGTTTGAGGAAAAAAGAGGTGAGTCCGTCTAATCCAGGTGATGAATTATTTCGCAGTTTCCTTAAATGATGTTTAATTTCATCCGGTGTGAAAGATATATTTTCAAGAGTTTTAGACAGACGAGGGCACATTATTTGAGGAATGGTATCGTTAGATTCATCTGTAAAAACTTGAGAAAAGAATAACGATAAACATTCCGAAGATTCGTTATTCGAAGAACATAAAGACCCATCAGCTTTTTGAAGCAATGGTATGGAAACTTTAGAAGATAAAGATGTACGAATGTACCGATAAACTTTTTTACTATTACCACTTGCAATGATAGATTCTTCAAATTCTGTTCTTAACTTTAGCAAAGATTGTTTGACTCGGTTAGAAAAATTACGGTGGGCGAAAAAATCATCAGGGGAACTAGTGAGTTTATATCTTCGCCAAAGCTTTCGCTTATGTCGAATTAAATGAGTAGCTGAGAGGTTAATCCAGGGTTTTAGTCGATTTCTATATACCTGCCGTTCGGTTGTATGATCAGAAATTGTTGTAATAGCAGTATGAAGAAAAGAGTCCCACATTGACGATGGATCAGAGTGATTAGAAAAAATAGATTGCCAGTTTAACTGGGATAAAACTGAATTTACATCAATGAAATTAGTAGTGGCATAAGTTACGAAATTATTTTTGCAAGGCGGTGTTAAACTAAATTGAATGTGAGCAGTAATAAGCGAGTGGTCAGAAAGACCCACAGGAGAGGACACTTCAAGTGAAGAAATTAATTCATCGTCATTTGTGAAAAATAAGTCTAAAATTGAAGGATTATTGTTGGCTCTAAACCTTGTAGGTTCAGTTATCAGTTGTAATAAATTTGAGTTCATGATAAAGTTTTTAAACAAATTTTGGGAATTGATAGTATCAGTTTTGGAAATAATGGGCCAGCTTATTTCTGGAAAATTGAAATCTCCAACAACAATGAGATTTTCAAGGGATGATAATTCCTCAAGTTTGCTAATAAGCATATTGTCCTGAGTAAGTACTGTATCAGGAGGTCGGTATATGCAAACTATATTAAATATGAAAGAGTTATTAGTAATAAGTAAGTGGATAATTTCTATACCGGGTACGTCTATTGTTTTATTACTGATAGAAAAAGTGTTCGTAATTTCATTTGCTAAATAGATGCATACTCCTCCCCCTCGACGAGTACCTCTGTCTTTACGAAATATAGTAAAATTATCAATGTTTACAATAGCATCGGGGATAGAAGAATTAAGCCACGTTTCGGTTAGGAGAATAATGTGAGGTTTTAAAAGTTGAACAGTACTTATAAATTCATTAAATTTGGACATAAGAGAGTTTAGATTAGTATACATAAGAAGCCAATCCGTAAATTTTAGTGCAGAAGAATTATGAGCGAAATTTCATTATCTTTGGACAGCCATTCACATATTTAATCGTGAGGTCATTTTCTCCATTATTTTTACGAGTTTCAAGCTCAGTACGAAGTTCCTTTAAACGAAGTTGCTGCATAGGTGTCTTGTCATCAATAATAGAATACGTTTCAGTAGATTTGTTTTCCAAAAGTTTATTTTTGTTACGAAGAATTTTTCGAGTGTGGTGTTCAGAACTCATTATCACTTTTATCATGCGGGGATAACGTTTATTTTCATTTGGTTTACCGACTCTATAAAATGTAACAGGACTTTCTTGACATCCAATGACTTCTAGGGCTAAATATATTTTATTCTTATCATGATCTTTTTTATTTTGTGCGTCTCCTGTAGGTTCGGGGACGCCTCTAACCAAAAAATTTTTGGAACGAGATATGCGGTCAGCGGCTTCATTGACAATGCTGTCGGTAAATTCTGTTGTTGTAATAGAATCGAGCTGATTTAATTTATTGCTGAATTCAGATAGTTTAATATCAAAATCTTCAATTTTCTTCTTAATGTCCGCTTTAAACTCGACAAGTAGATTCTTGATTTCAGTAATATTCGTAATGTTTGAACTGCATGCATTGCATAGTATACATATACCACGTACTTTTTGCCTCGTAACTCGATCATCGACCGACAGATCCGTACAAGCAATGTGAATTGGTTTCTTACAGCCATCGCACTGGAGCTTTCTATCGGAGGTAGAAGTTAGCTTTGAACAATTAGCACAAAACGATGTATTAGGCATGATTAACTTTGTGCTAGTTTTGGATATGAATTATAATTATTGGATTGATAAATAAACAGCAAATTTGTCGTTATCACTTACTTGAATGAGTACATATTTACATATTGCATACATTACATATTGAAGTAGTTGTGAAAAAATAAGTAATCCGCTATTGTGTAGCGGCGTCCATCTTGGATATACAATGATACTGAATGTATGTAGTGTATGTATAGTCGATTCGCTAATCTCAGACACAACTATCTAGTATTTTAGTAATTATTTTATTGCGAAAGTTAGTTACATTTTAACAGACTAGAACTGGATGACAATTACTATATTTACAACCAAGCACATATGCCCATAGCCAATATTAAGAGTAAACAGACATAAATCTTACTCCAATCAATCATTATTTATTTACACCGTTATATAATTCCACAACAGACAACGGAAGATTTGACCAATAATTTAAAGGTAAATGCTCCAAATATACATTTTTACTTCAAGAAGTTAAAGGTTACGGAGTACCAAGCAAACTTTAAAGTTTCATATCCATTGGATTATAAAAATGAAGTTCTCAATCCCAGTATCTGGCCTGAAGGTTCAATGGTTCGTCGTTTTGACTTCAAGTATAAGAATTGTACTAACCGCAGTTAACAACAAAACCAGAAATAATTCTTACAAATCCGGCTTAGGCAAACTAGATACTACAAATAATTTTAAAGGCAATACCAATCAACTAAAAATCGTATGTATTAACTCTGAATCTATTGTAAACAAAATAAATTGTATCCAAATATTAGTTTAAACTGAAAGTCTGGATTTACTATGTATATCCGAATCATGTGTAATGACAATAATATAAATTCGTTTTATCTTCCTAATGCTCTCTTGTAATGATTCGTAATACTTTTTTGATTATTTTTTAGGTTATTAGGATAAAGATAATTTATTAGGAAATTCCACGACGAACAAATTATATCTTGTATCAACACAAGCCAAAAAGAATCGGTGTATTATTGTATTATCAACGTCAACATCAGAATAAACAAAAAAGTATTTTCATCTATGGTTCCATCAATACGATTTTCACCATTACTGTGCGTTGTGCGATGTATTTGCAACCTTTTGTAAATGAAAAATAATTACACCATTTAGAATGTCAATAAAAGCCGGCGATGCATGTAATTATTTTTTCAGTGCAATATTTCATATTTATTGAAAGTCAACATAAATGCTCAATTTTATTTAAGAATTTATATTGTGTAATATGCCCACTGACTATTAAAAAATAAGGTGCTTTCCTGTCATTTTCACTCGTTGGCGGCTTGCCCACGCAAGATCAAAGGAGTGTCGCTTCTCTGCGTTCGTAGTTCTCTGATACAACAGTAACATTGGTGCCCCGTTCTGCGCTAGATATTTTATTGACGCACATTTTTCATTTTATAGAGAAAACTTTAGGAGGTCTGTTTGGGATAGTGGAAAATCCCGATTCATCCATATGTAAATTTCATGTAGCGGGAATTTATATGTATTCAATAACTTTGAGCCTAATATTAAGTATCTATATCTAAATATAATAAAAAATATTATGAATTATTGTGTATTTATACAATAATAATTGTATTCTACATATTTAAAGTGGTAATTAAATTATTAAATTTGTGTTTTGGATCTTTTATATTGTGTGTAAAAGACAAGTTACATTTTCCTACTATTCTTTATATAATTTTTACTTTATGTGCCCTGGGAAGGTTTTAACCCCTCAAACCCCTCAAACCCCTCAAACCCCTCAAACCCCTCCACCCCGAATATCCGCCAAAATAATGAAAAAACTAAAACTGGGAATTTTGTTATGAAATTTGGTATGTGTGGTTAAAATAATATTAGGAAAAACTTCACAAAAATATTCTAATCATTTAGATCCTGTTATAAACGAAAAGTAAAATTAGAATTATAAATAATATTTCAGTTTTACTTACTAGGACTTAAATATACTACTTCTGGACTCTCTGTTGGACTATTTAGTGTATTACATTCAGCAGTTAACGATATTCCTAAGATTGAATCGTTGGTGTCATTTTTAATAAAGCATTTGTATGCTTCTGCTTTTCTAGATTCCTTTGTATTATAAACAGCGAAATAGTGTTTGTCCCCTCTATACCAATCACCGAAACAACCATACTCCACCACTAAAAAAAAACCATAAACTGTAACACGTGATGGTTTATAATGGTACATTGATTTCGAGTTTATAGACCGTGGTCTGGAATTAAACCGTGGCAACTGCGACAGGTGTTATAGGCGCATTCTCAGAATATCATGGATGGACCGCGTCACTAACACGCAAGTACTCCAAACTTTAGACAAAAGATGCGAAATTCTAAATGAGATAAAAACTAGAAAGATGGAATACTTGGGGCACATTGTGAGAGGTGAAAAGTACGAACTTTTAAGAAACATCATGCAGGGCAAAATTAAGGCAAAAGAAGTGTGGGAAGAAGAAAAATATCGTGGCTTCGTAATCTACGTGAATGGTTCGGGTGTAGTTCGATTGAACTTTTTAGGCGCGCTGCTAACAAAGTCGCAGTGGCCATGATGATTTCCAATCTCCTCTAGGAGAGGCACGAGAAGAAGAAGAAGAACTGCGACAGACATTCCAGGTTTTAGACATTTGGTGCCCGTTCCTGCATATCTTAGAAGTTACAGTGATGTGTTTTTGGTCCCTTCCTATTGGTTTTTTTTATTCTTTGATGTTGTGATAGCCTCCATAAATTCTTATATCTTTATGTGATTAATTATATACAAAGTTTGTTATTCCACGTCGCCTTTCACCTATTACCTTTTATAATGTCTGCCGTAGTTGCAGACGAAACGTCAGGATAAATAATGCTAGACCATAGCTCATAAATTCTGAAAACAATAGATCATTACAAAACAAGAGCCTTTATGCGACATTGTTTATGTTTCTAAAATACCTTAAATCTTCAGGCATAACAAATATTGCTAGAAAATATGTCATCATTATAAAAAGCATAAAAATTCCAGAGAAATAAAATTATAATTTTTTTAATATTTTGGACCCATAATCAATTTGACTTACTTCCTTGGAAAGTGGCATCTTTTCCTTCACATTTTTGATAGGCCATAGTAAATTTTTGATTATTACTTAAAGATAGTTTATCAGGAACAAGGCATGAATGTATTCTTGATTTTGGGTTACTACATCTTCCTGAAAACTGTCCAGGCCTTTCGTAAGCGAAATCCCAACTACCCTGTAAAGAGGTCTTGCAATTTACTAGACCACGATTATAATGGTCGTTAGAGAAAAGCGTAGTAATTTTGTTATGGTTCAGTTTAGAGCACAGTGAATCGAAGTCTTCTTTACTGCTATTGCTAATATTGGTACAAACACCTTAAATTAAAATAAAGAAGATTAGTACATTAATATTGTTCTGAAGCTATTTTCTTGTGGCATTGTAAATTAATTAGTATTAAACTGGGAATAAGCCACAATTAAACATAAAAATACGTTTATTGACGTTTCAATTTCCACTTCGGAAATCGTTCTAAAAATACAAACAGTAAATTAAACAAATTTTGTTTTTGTTACATAATGAAAAATTCTTCTAATAATTTAATTTTATCTGACTCATTTATATTGCCAATTCAGACATACATTATGCATTTTAAAGGAGACGACTTTAAAATGATATTGCCAATATTGTTGAGTTGCGCTCCTGGGACGACTTGAGTGAATGTGTGAATGCGATCAGTTTTATTTAGGTGAATCATCAAGGCCATTAAATGTTAGAATAAGTGAACATCAATATTATATTAAAAATAGAGAATTTGATAGATCTCAAATCTGTAAACACGCATGGGATAATGAACATAGGGTTCAATGGAATAATTCAAATGTAGTCCTAAAAGAAACGGATGGTAAAAAAAGAAAAAATCAAAGAAGCGGCTCTAATTATGCTAAATGAGGCCAATTGTGTCGCAAATTCCTCGGCAGAATGTAGTAGGATCTGGTTACCAATATTGAAAGAGGAAGTTATTAATAAGAAAATACCAGTATTAGTAAGTCCGTAACATATAGAGGATACATCATTTATGTTTTTTAAATAACGTAACATATAAAATCAGAATTTTGATGTTTGTTGAAGGTAAACTAAATTCACGAACAAATACTTACAATATCGGGATAGTATTATGAGGTTTTTTTCCTGGTTTTTCCCTCATAATTTACTATGGAATCACTAACAGGAGAATTTTACTGTCATCATGTCATGTGTTTGTCTTTTTAAAGACGAATTACATGCTATGATTTTTTTCTGACGGATATTCTCAAGTTAAAGTTGATTTCATGTAATCGAATGAACTCTCTTATAAGTAAAGTCGTCCCAGGAGCGCAACTCAACAATATTGGCAATATCATTTTAAAGTCGTCTACTTTAAAATGCATAATGTATGTCTGAATTGTCAATATAAATGAGTCAGATAAAATTAAATTATTAGAAGAATTTTTCACTATGTAACAAAAAACAAAATTTGTTTAATTTACTGTTTGTATTTTGAGAACGATTTCCGAAGTGGAAATTGAAACGTCAATAAACGTATTTTTATGTTTAATTGTGGCTTATTCTCAGTTTAATAGTAATTAATAGTATATTAATAATTGTATATATATATATATATATATATATGTATATATATATATATATATATATATATATATATATATATATATGTATATTCAATCAATCAATAAATTTATTTTTGTCCCCGGAATGCGTGATTTAATTAATGACATACCTTTTTGAAACACACTGTATATATATATATATATATATATATATATATATATATATATAAATATATATATATATATATAAACATATGTTACGGGCAATAACGTAAATCCGGTCAATAACGTTATTAACCGGTCAATATCGACAATGGCTGGAATTGAGGATTGATGATAAGTTTAAATTCTTGATAACATTTCTATCATTGTCCGGTAAATGTCAAAATTGCAACGGCCAATGTCAACCAAACCAAGGAAAGATTTGGTTTCGAAGCCAAAGACGAGTTGCAGCGGAAAATAGCCAAGGATACAAGCGTTGCCAATGCACAGGTCGTTGTAAAAATAATAAGTGTGCATTTCGTCCAAACAATTACATTTGTAAATTAAAATGCCATGGTGCCATCTTGTCAAAATAAAAATAATTAGTCTTTAAAAGTTGTTTTAAATAAAAAAATAATATATCATATAATTTTATTTATTTATCAACATTGACAGAAGCATTGATTTCATTCTGGTCGCTGTCGTCATTGACATTTATGAAAACTCCAATTTTAAGTTATTTTTTTACAACATTGGCTAATAGCTAATGTCATTGTCGTTAAAAGCCAGGCATTGTCGTTAATAACTAGATAAAATGGACATTTACGACAATGTCTTTAATATCAATGTCCAATTTACATTATTGTCCATAACATACATATATATATATATATATATATATATATATATATATATATATATATATATATATATATATATATATATATATATATATTGTTTTTTTATCAAGGGAATAGCTAAAATATATTGTGAAAGAGAAGAAGAGGTTGGTTCATGCTGTGACAATTACTTATTAGTAGACTTAAAATTTGGTGTTAACTATATACTTTTATAGCCAATATTTAATTTTATTTATAATCACCTGGTATTCAAATTCTTGGTATAGTAACTAATAAAAGGCTTATAGTTTTTTGTACTGGAACGATTTGTACTGGAATTAAGGGTTTGTGTAAACCAGTTTATGTCTCTAGGTAAAATTTTTTATTTTGATGGTCAGTTTCACTTGTTTTCACTTTTGTGGTAAAATTGGAGGCGTAAATAACGTGTATTTCTAATTGTGAATAATTATTGTGCTTTGAAAATGCCGAAAATAAGCAATGTTTCAACTTGGATAAAACCTTACAAAGAGCTATCCATGGATATGGATAAAGTTTATTGCTCATGTTGTGGCAAAACCGTAAGTACATACGTATTATTTTTTATTTTATTTTAAAAATTTACACGGTGGTAAAAACAAAGATTTTAAAATTGGAGATTATGTTTAAGAAAGGGACCGACAAAAGTCTAGCTCGCAATAAATCGATGTACCTACCTATTTTTTCCTTTTTCAAGCGTTTTTTAAACTGCTTGCGATAAAAAATAGGATACCTATTTAAAATTCAAATCATTCAATAGTCTACTGAAATGTCGCTAACAATAGCATAGTTTGCTTTAAATTAACTAAGTGCTTTTAATTTATGCTTACAGTATTTTTTTCGTTAAATGTAAACAGAAAAGACCTCTTGTAACTATTTGGGGGTTCTTCGTTCTTGTAGAGCTATTTCTTAACATTTTCAAGATTACTACACCGATTTTTATTTGATTTAGTTTAAAAATTTTAATTGTTATGCAAAAACGGTTAATTTTTAGTTTATTTCTACAATCTTACAATTGTTCTGAAGCTATTTTCTTGTGGCATTGTAAATTAATTACTATTAAACTGGGAATAAGCTTTAAATATAAACTATCGTTAAGCTATCGTTCTCAAAATATAAACCCAAGGTTTGTATTTTGAGAACGATTTCCGAAGTGGAAATTGAAACGTCAATAAACGTATTTTTATCTTTAATTGTGGATTATTCCCAGTTTAATAGTAATTAATTTACAATCTTAGATTTTAAAAATGGGTACAACTATAGAATATTTATATTCTTTTCTAGATTTCATCTGAAAAAAAGTTTCAAATAGATCGGCATGTCAGAACGGCGAAACATTTACGTAAAAAAGTAAAAACCACATCCGGTAAAAAATATCAAGTTCAGTGTCCAAGTGCTTTCAGTCAATTTCCAAAAAACAAACCGAATAAAAAACTTTTAACGTAAACTTGTGTCGTGCATTAGTATCTTCTAATATACAGCTTTCAAAATTATCTATAATAATGAAAACTTTAGTTCTTAAAAAAATATATTGCAAACAAAACATTCCCAGTGAACAAACTCTAAAGAGAAATAATGTCAATTTGTTATACTCCTCAGTTATCCACAACATAAAAGCCGAAATAGGTAATAATTACTTATACATATGTATGGACGAGACCACTGACTCGTCAGGAAGATACATTGTGCACTTATTGATTGGTGTACTTAGTGATGAAACCTTTCCAAAATCGTATTTAATTTTCTTGTAAGCAAGTGGAAAAAAATAACGCTCTAACAATATCACGGTTTCTACAAGAAGCATTAGCAAACTTTTTTCTTCCTGCTTCTGTGCCTAATGATAAATTGTTGCTTATTTTATCTGATGCCGCACCATATATGGTGAAAGCAGGACAAAATTTAAAAATATTTTATCCAAACTTAATACATGTCACTTGTTTAGCGCATGGAATAAACAGAGTTGCGGAGGAAGTAAGAAAATAATTTCCACTAGTTAACAGTTTAATAGCGAGCATTAAAAAGGTATTCCTGAAACCACCTGTAAGAATACAATGTTACAGAGATATGCTTCCTGCTGTTCCACTGCCACCGCAACCCATTTTAATACGTTAGGGAACATGGTTGGGAGCAGCTAATTTCTATGCTGATCAGTTTGTTGATTAAAAAAAATAATTAACGTTTTTAACGGATGATAGTTGCCAATCTTTATTGGAAGCTAAGCAAGCCTCCAAAATAACATCCTCCAACAGCAACTGTCATTCATAAAATCAAATTATAGTTTTGTCCAGAAAACTATAACTCAATTAGAATCCTCTATATTATCATTGTTAGAGAGTACAGTTTTTATAAAAGAATTTGAGACATTGTGTCAAAACGTTAAAGGTACTATTAGAAAGGCAATTTTTCAAAAATTTAATGTAACCATGGAAAAAAAATAGTGGTTACCAGGTTCTTTCTGAAGTGGTTCAAGTACTAGCTGGGACATTTTCCGAACCACTTTATTTAGAACTATCTATTACAGTAAATTTGAAAAATGCCCCAGTTACATCAGTTGATGTCGAAAGAAGATTTTCTATTTACAAATATATGTATTCAGATAGAAGCCATAAGTTTTTATTAGAAAATTTTGAACATCATTTGATAATCTATTGTTACCACAATTCAAAAAAATATTGATATGTTAAAATAATTGTATATGTTATGTATTTATAATATTGTAAGTATTTTGGTAAATAAAAAAATATTGTAAATATTTTTTATTACATGCATATTTTCAAGATAAATATGCATATTTTGCATAAAATACTGCATATTTCTGCTACAATACTGTATATTTATGCGCATATTTTATACTTTTTTATTTGCATATTTGTCCAAGTCTACTTATTAGAATATGCTACGTGAGGTTTTTTTGTCCGAAAACTAAACATTAATATGACTTTCTTTGGTAGAGTGACGTGTGTGGATAATTTTCATGTTAACAGTATAAAGTTTTAAATTTGTAAAATTTTCACAGCAGGCCAAAATACTACTTATATAATATGTATAAACAATTTCCACAAGAATGGTACATATTTATTTAACTGACACAAAGAATTCGAATGGGGTATGCAGGTACAAATGGCATTTTTTTCTTTTCAAAAAACTTTGCGAGTCGTGTTTTTCCACTGAGGAATAAAATGGAATACAGGATTATTTTCTATTCTTTATCGATCCAGCTTTGGAGGAAAAAATTATAAAATTTTTATGTATAAAGAAAATTTTTGTTTGTAATTTATTTTTCGTTTTCCGTTTGGTAAATTCAATGCATTTTAAAAAAAGGAAAATAGCTATATACGTCAATAAATAGTAGTATAAAATTAACTGTGTTATTTTAATATTAGGAATATTGTTATTTTTTGGGATTATCATTATACTTAGCATTATTATTTCAAATTTTATTTGTTATTATTGATAATATCCTTTTATCTTTTTTGTTTGGAGACAATATTATTTAACATTGGATATTTCTTTAAACTTACAAGAAATTTTTGCGTCTTTTATTATTTTCAATAAATAAATCGCATTGTCGTTTATAAAGTTGATATAATCATAAAAAACTGTCGCCCTAACGTGAGAGGCGTGGGAAAAAATACAAGAAAATAAATGTTGACAATTAAAAATAAAGGTAGGTTAAAGTACATATTTATATCAGTTAGGCTATTCTTTTTTTCTCTCTTTTAAAGTGCAAGCCAAAAACATAAACAATTTGCATATAACATAAAATTACATAAGTATATATGAACAAATTAGCTTAATCTGTAGCTTTAATCAAACATAATATAAACAAAATACTTCTACCAGTAGCAGACATAGATCATGGTACTAGATAATATCAGTAAAAACAACTGCAAACAAAGTTGGCAACGTTTATACAACCAAAGTACAAGAGGAATTTAGATATTGCCAACCACTAATTCTCAATGAGAGATGGTTTAAATATGTGTCAAATAGGTTATTTATAAAAACAAAAAAAAAGAATAAGATAAAATTACGCACTCACTCCTGCATACAAACGCAGCATAGGTATCACTGATAACCCATATTGCTCCTGTGATAAAATGGGAGATCTACAGCACCTTTTATTGCAGTGTGAAGAATACCGACAATGTATCAAAATAATGTATGAAAAGCTAATTGGACTAAATTGTCCTTTACCTATCAATTTTTTTTTTCAATTAATAAGCAGACATTAAAATGTACATACGAATATATAACGCCTTGTAAATTTAAATTTTAACTAGGTTTAGGTTATAAAATTAAAAATTGTAAATATGTCATAAAAAACTAAAAAAATGTATACACTGTACATTAGTACAATCTAAAAGTTGACGTGTCCCAACGTTTTGTATAATTTTCTAAAATAAGGGTACAAACAATTTTATTTCATAAATGGTTTCCACACTGCATAATTTTAAAAATTCGCCATGTAATATTCATAACAGACCCTATATGATATTGTTCGTTAAGATCAGGTTCTTAAGAGCTTTTAAAAATATGAAAATATACAGGGTGTTCCATTAAAAATAAAGCTTGTGGACTATGCTAAGCTAGCGTGAGTCACCCGGTACATATAAATTTATGTTTAAAAAAGAAATAGAAATGTGTTCTTACCTTCAATTTTCTCGACAATATTAATTGTACGAACAAAGAATTTGATGCAGTGGTAACATCGATCATATTGAAAAGCAATAGTGTAGTCACTGTTATGTTCAGTCTTTTTGTAATCGCAAAGTACTTTAACTCTATTTTCTATGGTCATAAAACGTTCATCAAATTTTGTAATAGTATCCTTTCCATCTTCTACTGAAAACCATGACCCCCTTAAAATTTCTGGTATATGACACTGGTTCTCTAGGGAGGTTACTGAGGAAAAAAGCAGAAAATATTAAAATTAAATTACCTTCTAGGCGATATAATTATGTTACAATTTATAATAAATTAATTATGTTATATATATATATATATATATATATATATATATATATATATATATATATATATATATATATATATACAGGGTGGTCCTTAAGTAATTGTACAAAAAGAAACAGTAGATTCTACACTTTAAACTATTACGATTTAAGCCAACTTGCTTTAATAAAATGTAAATATTAAAAAAGATACAGGGCGTTAAAGAGGGCATTTAAAATTTTATTTTTCGCTATAACTTTCACGTTTGTAAAAATTGGAATATAATCCATGTTATGGTATGAGTATGAGAAATTATAATTTGATGCACATTTTACTGTAGCTGATAGAGGGCGCCACGTATGCTACATATGTGGCATAAATTTGCGCCTAACTTATTTGCCCTTCAAGTTAGTAGTAGTATTTTTTTCTTTAAGATTGATGCCTTTATTCATGGAGGTTAGCGATTACTTTGGCGAAACTTCCCCTATCTCTGCTGTTTGTGTTCGTCAAGGTCTAGCTCCACCTATTCTCTGATGTTTTTCATCCAGGACAACTTTTTTTTATTCCGTGTTACTTCTTCTTTTTATTTTATCCTTTATAGTTAATAGGGAGTTTAGTTTTATTTGTCTCTTAACAGGTAATTTGTTTTTCCTATTTTTATCACTGATAAGAGTTCTTTCTCATTTTTTGTCACTGTAGAACTTCTTCATTCAACTTTCTTGATATCTAAGATATTTTAAAGATTGGGTGATAAACGTATGTCTCGAATATTGCCCATATTTACCATCTTGTACTCATAATATTTAATAACATCTTACAAGTTGCAGTCATCTGAAGAAATGATTTGGTAAGAACTTCAATCCGGGCCTTTGAGTATTGATCAAATATCCAACCGTCCTGAGAGTTCAAGCTAGAGTACTGATCTGGTAAAAGCTCCTAGCCCGAGTCTTTGAGCATTAATCAAAGACCAAACCGTCCTTCCCGTCGGTGAATAAGTATTGATTGAGTGCTTTCCGTTCAGTGTCCGTATCGAGTAGTGATCAATCGGACAACACGACTTTTTAAAGCGAAGCTTCTATACTGCCGTTGTATTACTTTTATTTCTCTACAGTAAAATGCTGAGGCAAGCGTCACGAAACTAGCGCCACAAGATGACGTCGTCACGGGTAGCGCCATAGAATAGCTGCTGTTGACACCGCTTCAGTACTCTCGATCAATTCGTTTCTAGTCAGACAGAATTCTGTCTCCGGTTTCCATACATAATGTAGCTTTGCCTATTTTAAAAATTTTAAATTCTGTTCTATTCTAACAGAATTCTGTCTCCGGTTCCCATACATAATGTAGCTTCGCCTATTTTAAAAATTTTAGAGTGTTTGTCCTTGTGTAGTGTAGTGTGATGTTTAATTTTATGTTTATAACATTTTATTCTTGTTGGATAGGCCACAATTGACGAAATGCCCCTGAAGATGCTCTAGGAGCGAAAGTACTTGGGCAAGATTAAATTAATAAAACTGTGCTCGATAT